CACCAGCCAATTCGCTCAGGACTCTGGGATGCATCTCATCAGGTCCCATAGACTTGTGCATGTTCAGGTTCCTCAGGTAGTCTCACACCTGACCTTCTCTCACAGTGGGAGGGACTTTGCCCCTCCAGTTCCTGTCTTGCAGTCCATCCACTCGAGAGGTGTGGGAAGAGAGATTGCCAGTGAAGACTGAGGCCAAGAAGTTGTTGAGTACCTCAGCCTTCTCCTCATTCGTTGTAAACAGTTTGCCAGTCTTGCTCATCATGAGGATATGCTTTCTTTGACCTTCCTTTTCTGGCTGACATACCTATAGAAGCCCTTCTTATTATTCTTTGCATCCCTTGCCAAGTTCAGCTCCAGCCGTGCCTTGTCTCTACTGACCTCATCCCTACACAATCGGGCAGCATCCCTGTACCCATCCCAGGATGTCTGTCCCTGCTTCCACTGCCTGTGCATTTTGTTCCTGCCTTTTAGCTTGCCCAGCAGGTCTCCACTCAGCCATGCTGGCCTCTTGCCTTCCTTTCCTGATTTCTTACACCTAGGGGTTGTGGGGGTTGGAGAACTCTTGCACTCTATGGAAAGCGTCCTTAAAGATCTGCCAGCTCTGTTCTGCTCCCTTGTCCCTGAGGGCAGTTTCCCAGGGAGTCCTATTGACTAACTCCCTGAAGAGCTAGAAGTTTGCTTTCCTAAAATTCAGGGTCCTGACTTTACTCTTTGCTTGCCTTATACCCCTCAGGACTGCAAACTCCACCAGTGCATGATCACTGCAGTCCAGGCTGCCTCCAATCTTGATCTCACCAATTAGCTCACATGCGCTGGTGTGGGATTGCACCCACTCTGATAGTGCTGTCTATTGCTTGGGACAGGAAGTTATCCTCCATGCACTCCAGGAGTCTCTTGGATTGCCTACAGCTCATTGTTCTACTTTTCCAGCAGATGCCAGAGTGCTTGAAGTCCTCTAGCTGGATCAGAGCCTGTAAACGTGATGCGTCTATAGGCTCCCCTTGATCAGGTGGCTTGTTATAGACACCAACCACAAGGTTCCCTTTGTTCCCTCATTCTTTGATTCTTACCCATAAACTTTCAACCTGCTTGTGGATATTCCTCAGAGACAGCTCTTCACACTCTATCCTCTTCTTGACGTAGAGGGCAATGCCTCCACCCTTCCTTCCTCACCTGTCCCTTCTGAATAGCCTGTAGCAATCACAGCTGCACTCCAGTCATGGGATTCGTCTCACAAAGTTTCAGTAATGGCAACCAGGCCATAGCTTCTTTCTAGCAGCATGGTGGCTTCCAGCTCGTCCTGTTTGTTGCCCATGCTGCGTGCATTGGTGTAGAGGCACTTCAGCTGGGCTGTCGGCCATGTCACCCTTAGTTCCTTTGAGGTCTTTCTCTGGTGCAACAGGCTGAGGGGCCTCGCTAGCACCCCGTCCCGCTAACCTTGGTGTGTCATCCCACAGCTTACCCACAGGTAAGCCTGATATTATCCCCCTCCCACTTTGAGTCTCGTTTAAAACCCTGTCAATAAGCCCTGCTAGCTTGTGAGCAAAGACTCTCTTTCCCCTTTGAGAAAGGTTAATCCATCTTATGCCAGCAAGCCAGGTGCTGTGCAGGCCATCCCATTATCAAAAAAACTGAAATTGTGGTGGTAGCACCAGTCACAGAGCCATGCATTAGTAGACTGGGCAATAGACCATAACGCAAGATAAAATAGGGGCTGTTTTTCAGAAGCATGTGTACCTTGTCTTACTTTGAAATAGAAAGCGGAGTACTACAACCAAAATAGACAAAGCAGGGGATGACTGCCTATCTTGCAATGAATTGCAGCCCTTTGAATACAGATTTGTTACGTCTTATCATAAATATGTACTGACTCTGAAGACATTAACCTGAAACAGAATTCATTTCTTGAAATAACACCTAAGTGGCAATGCAGCTTGCTATCCAACCTAAGAGCCAATTATCTTTTTAAAGATGCATGGCAGAAAGGTGAAACAGAATTCCATTTTGATACTGCAGGTAGGCTTTCACCATCTCAGAAGTCTCGAAGTTGTCCCTGCTCTGTATTCCCCCAGTCTGATTTTACAGAGACATGGGCTTATGTAAACCAGGAATGACTGGAATGAAATAACAGTTTCACTGATGTAAAACTGCTGAAGGAAGAGGAACATGCCACCTTCAGCAAAAAAACAAACAAACAAACAAAAAAGCCCCCCACAACCAATCAAAAAATGCCACACAAGTAAAAAAGTTTTAACTGAAAGGAAAACTGAACACACATTTGTTCCTCCTATACGGAAATAGGAAACTATGGATTTAACCAACCAGCAAACTAAGTTGTTATGAAGAAAGCAGCATAGATGTACACTCTGTTTGCACTAGAAATAACTGAGTGTTTGCTAAAGAGGGAATAACAGAAAAAACTTGAAGTGAATTACTGCAAACTAGGTAATAAGGGATTCAGGAAAACAATCATTGATTTATGTTCTTGTCTTGCAAATATCTAAACAGTTCTTAGGAACATGAAACAGGGTTAGAAATAAAGTCACAGGAGCAGAAACTGGACTTTTGCAATGTTCAGCAAAAGGACCACTTGCATTTATATGCCTGTAAGCAGCACAGGCCCATGGGTAACATAATGCCTCTCTGCAGAAAGGTGGTAGGGGTCGTGTCTGAGTTAGGTGTTAGTGGTACAATTTACACAAAGGGAGATCAGAGGCAAAGCTACTAGATCTACAACTGAGGTCTCAACACACATCTACTTTCCACATTCCTGTAAGCAAGGTGCTTAGAGAGGTCCTGAATTAAACCACAAACAGTCATGGTTTGAAGCTGAAAAAGACTAGAATGTAGTCAATACAGAAATGCTAGTGCAATGTTCTGTGTAGAGTACAACAAACGGCACAAGCAGAATTTTGCTGCCCCAGAGAGGAAACCAGAGCATAGCTATATTCTGCCACTTTTACAATCTGAAGCGCTGCTGTATTCCAGTCTAAAGACATAACTTAGATCAATTTATTGTAGCAAACTGAGCTGCCAGGCCCTCATGCCTTGCATACCTACGACTCCCACTGATTGAAATGGGAGTGTTGTGTGTATTCAAAGAGCGCATCCCCCAACCACTATCTCCTATGTTCATAAAAACAAAACCCACAAGGAACAGATTCTGAAAGTCTAGGATGCATATGAAAGTATCTGGGGGGGAATCAGCGGGCATCTACAAACACATAGTCATTATTATTCTGCCCCCATCCCATGTAATTAGGAATCTTAAATGCACGCCTTCAATGCACACAATGTGAAAGCAATTTATCACTCTGTCCTGTTAATGTTGGATCTTTGCCTTGGTAAAAAAAAAAAAAAAAACAAGGGACAAAAATTTTAATGCACTAAAACAAAACATACCTTTAGCCCATGAATTACTTCTTGATTTAGGAGGTGCCTTTAAGGGGAAGGAGGCCCTCTATGAACCAAGAGGTCGTTGTGTTTTTTGTATCTTTATATAATTTTCTAAAGAGTTTTAAAACTACTCTATTGAGGCTTGCTTAAGTTTTCTTCCTGTTGCTCTTCAAGTACAAAATAAAGGCAAACATGACTGACAGCACAAGACCAGTTTGTGTCTGGAGGGACAGAGCACTTATCCTGAAAAGCAAACAAACCAACCAACCCCAAGCCCCTAAAGCAGGACCACTACGCACGCACACTGTAAAGGTCTAGTAGCAGTACAAACAACTGAGCACTAGTGGCTCGCAAGTGCTGTCTAGACAAAAACCAACCTTCTCTTGATATAATTTGTGGAGCCAGTTAGAACACTCCTGCTCATCTTCTGGGACTTGCTCTAGCGGAATCCGCCTGCCAATGGTAAACAAGAGAAATTGAAGAATATTAAATACTTTGGCTCTCATGAACAGCACTTACATTACACAGACAGATTATCCATCTGACAGGAGACTCACTACATTTTCCACCTTTTTTTTTTAATTTGTGGTAACAGCTTCTGGATCAGCAAAGTCTAGTTTGCTTCTAAAGCCACGTTCAGTTCTCAGATGTATCTGAAATTCAGAAATTTAGATTTCTGAAATAGTAATGCATTATGTTTGAGCTCATTAGAGCCACTATCTAGATAAAGGTTTGCAATTGTCTGTTTCTAAACAAAGGTTTTGGACTAATTAATTTCTTACCCCACGTATAGCATTTAAGGCTGTATTTAATCAGCTAGGAACTAGAGAGAAAAAACAAACCATTCTCCTTATACCTAGGGTAAAGCACTCTAGTGTGTGCTTCCAATTCCTACAATTTTTGTTATGTGCAGCTTGGTTGGGTAATTTCTAGCAAAATAGCTCCTAACACTGAAAAACCCTCTCTTGAAAAAACGAAGTTTTCATCACATTACATGAATCTTGGTCAATAATCCCATGACAGAAAAAAATAAATCCCCTTGTCATCTTCATTTAGGTATGACATACCTAAAAAATTATTTAATAATCTTGCATCTTTCAATATAGCATATATTTGCATTACTAGCCATCAAATTAACTTTGTTCAGCACAGGAAAGAGCACTTTTCAGTCAGGACACTCCTGTTTGCAGTTAATAAATTAAGAGGTGCAACTGAGGGCAACACCTACAGCCCTTCAACAAGCAATTATGGAGGATTTTGAAGAACATCTGTGATGGTTCTCAATTAATTGCCAAACTAAATTTTGCCATGAGGTTTACCCTGCCTGTAAAAAGCCTTTCAGGAAGCTCAAAAGGACAGAAGTACAAATAGCTAGCCCAAGTCGTGAAAGCCAATTTCCATGCTCTGCCAGATTGACTTGGAGCAGACTGGAAGGGTGTAAAGGGAGACACAGCAAGACGCACACCTCTACACTGTTGGAGTAATGGCCCACACAGGTAAGGCCAGCTGCTCCTCCATGAACACCAGCCAGCCAGGCCATCTACACGAAACACAAGGCCACTAGGCTGAGCTACCTGTGAGAGCCAAGTGGGAATGCAAACTCATGTTGTACCCATGAGGAATGAAGAGAAACTTTCTTTTTACCCTTGGGCAAAAACAGTTCTGAAGAAAGTATTTTTTAAAACATGCAGAAAAGGGGAGGTAAGAAGAAAAGGTTGCCTTTGAGATTCTAGGCTCCTACGCTCGAAACCTAAACTATCACATATCCTGAGTGCCTGCAACATGGGTACTGCTGGCAGAATGTGGCCTGGGAATAAGGGCCTTGCAACTGGCCCATTCTCATTAAGATTATGGGAAGCCATTGGGTTATTCATCACTTATAAAAACATTAATGACACAGAATCCTGGTAATTGCTTTTTCATTAAACAAACCCTTTCTTGGTAGGGTGAGAGCAGCAAATACATCAACAACTACATCAAACAGAGATGAACAGTCCTGAGCCTGGCCTCCACCCGAGTGGAGAGAGACAGTTTGTGCCAGAGACAGATGCAAAGCCACTCCACCTGGACACTTAGTAAATGTTTGGTATTCTGGCCAAGTTGAGTGGAAAGAGGCCCCACTGTTGCTGCTGAGATGACAAATAGACACACAAATTAATAAAAAACCCAACCAAACAAACAATCCTTTAGAACTTTATAGGGTCCCCATTTATTTATAGTCACAGAGCTCTACAAGAAACCCTTCCCATCCCATATGAGTTTTTATCTGCAGTTCTGTGAAGCCAGGTTGGTAGACATTTGCTATCTGTTATCTACTTGAAAATATTTCCTTACTTGTGACTGCAGGTATACCTTCTATATGACAAAAAGGAATTAAAATACAGATTACTTGCCTTACATATAAATCTGCATGGTATTTCTTTCCATTTAGAACTCCCAGCAATGTTGGATTCTCATTATTTCTAAAATTGAGAGTAGAATCATAGACTGCAGAAACTACAAGAAGAGAAACAGGTTATGTGATTAATGTAGTAATAGAATGGAAATAAGTCATTCTCTCTCAGACAAGGCGCGTATTTAAATATGAAGTCATCAGCAATAGCACCATAGTTTGAGTGGTCACCAAGGTAAAGATGACAATGGAATAGTCAACACATAGGTTTAAGAAGCCAAATAACCAGTGATCCTTTCAGGAACTGCACCAGTAGAATGGAAGCATTTGCTCTCCACCATTGTCTCCTTCACAATCAGGTGCAGAATGTTGGGTGTAGGGTACACAGTTACAGTTTCTGACAGTTAATATACCTAGGACATCCTAGGAGTCAAATGGCTAAAAAACTATTAGCTTTCTCAACTCAGTGTGAATGACACAACTCCCACCCAAATCTAGGTAAGTAACCAGGCAGATACACACTATGAACAATGAACAATATATACAGTTTGACTAAGAATGGGTGAAGTGTGTGAAAGACACATCCTACAGTACTATGGGCTATGAATTGCTGGGGTTCAAAACAACCTCCCCTTCAAGTCCATTATTTGATAACAGAGGCACTTGCTATAGGGCAAAGGCAGAGACAAAACAACAGACCATGTCCTGTGTGAGCTGGGCTGCTGCTGTGGAGACATGCAGCTGTGAGGAATATAACATCCAAGTTCCACAAAACAAAACCGCAAACAACCTTTCAGCCTTGAGAAAACACTGTTTCTGCAGTTCAGGACTGCACGGTAACAGTAAAAGTATTTGCAACAGTCATTCGTAGTTAAACTAAGACGGCATTAACAAGCAGCTTCTACAGAAAAGTGTTCACTGTTTGAAACCACAAAGTGTTTCAAAAGAGTTTCTTTGAACACATCCTTAGAGACACTATTTTCCTGATGTCACAAAATTACCAGAGAGCAATTCATTTTTCTGCTGCTGAAACCAATTGTGCATCATGGTGTGAATTCTAAGATCAATGCCAGCAACAAAACTATTTTTTTTTTTGTCACAAAAGTGACTAACATGCACTTCACATGTAGCTTGCTGTATTTTAGGTTTTCTGCTCTAGAGTTTTGCAGTCATGAATACTGTGAAGAACCTTTATTGTGAGAGCTCTCAACCCACCTAAGAAAGCCTTTTATTACACAGAACAGATTTGTTTTTATTTTTGAAGCCTCTTTAGCTACAAGAGATAAATACGGTTTGGTCGTAACATTCAGCCCCCAGAAACTCACCACAACGTTTGTTACTGCAAAACAGAATTTGTAGCGCAGAACATAACAGCCTGGCTTCAGAGCTGCAAGGAAATCCTGAAAACAGAGGCCAAACCCCTGTCACTGCATACAGACTGTATTGCTCGTTAAACAGCCCTGTTCTCCTACTGTGGGGTTTTTAGCACAAACTCAAAACTGCAACACAGAAGCCAAGATCTACTTCAAGCATACTACTCTCCCTTTACAATATAAGTAGGAAACTACTTTTTTTGAATAAATTATCTACCTCCATTTTTAAGCTTCTTAGTGTAGAAGGATTTTACTAATCTACTCTAATTTACTAATCTAATGTAATTGAAGGAAGACAAGAGCTCAATTTGGTTTATATAGGGTAAGCTTCTTAGTTTATTCTTTAATAGCATGAGATTATTCTAACGACAACACGGACACAATAAAGGAAAGTATGATGTATGCAGTACTTGTTCTTTCATCTTCTAGAAGACATCTACATTTGAGTTTTGATATGAATTGAGTACTTGTTCAGACACATTGGAAGATCCTTCTCATGTTCTGAAAAAATTGCAGTTGGTCAGGAACATCTTTATGTACTGACAACCATACACAAGAGTTTTCCTTCACTCCAGGGAAAAAATATCCCATTCTGCTTTGTAACTGGTCTGTAGTTTGATATTCAGTCCAGTCCTTTTTAATATCACACTGAAATCTTTTGGTGCGAAGAAGTGCCAAATCCAAAACAATGGCAGCATATATAAGAGTATACAGAACTCTGTCATATCCAGATATAAAGTAACTGAAGACTTAAGCTTTTCCATTTTGAAAGTGCAGGAAAAGAACAACAGTAGAAGTGTCAAAGAAAAAGACTGCATGGAATTAAAATTTGCCAGAAAGCTTCCACAGCCAAAGCAGCACTAGCATGCTGCGTGACATACTGAAATTGTTTTTCATTAAATGTGTATTTTGTAATCACATAATTAGAACTGGACATCTCATGGCTTTCTCATCCAAAAGCTGAAGAGTCCAGAAATTTCATGTTCTAAACGAAATAAAAAAATAACTCCTCAGTATCTTGAAACCATTGTAACGGTCTCACTCTCAGACTAATTGCAGCAATGTTTGAAGAGTTTTGGTTCAATTGTGAAATAAAGTCTTTTCTCAAAGAACTTATCTTAAAACATCTTTTTTGTTAAAAAACAAACACAATTCAATATTTGGAAGCCTTTTCAAAGGCTCAGAACAGATCATAACTGAAAACAAAATTTTTCCAGCTGAATCGCTATTTTCTGACAAAAAAGGCTAGGTTTTTGGTTTCATTTTTTTTTAATATCTTTAACTTCTGGCTCCTTGTATAGTATTCTGAGAGACAACTACATACTTCAGAATTTAAGATTTAATTTCTTAATTGCGACCTAAGAAATCTTCAGATTACACATCTAGAGAGGATTTTTCTTACTTCAACTGTCCTCTTGAATTTCATGCATTATTTTGTGGACATGGTGGATTACGCCACGATGATCATCCGACAAATCAACCTACAGGCAATGAGTATGCCTACATACGGCTTCATACTAGCATACAATGATCTGAAGTGAAGATTGGGAAAGGGAGGGGAAGAGACAGTGGAATTCACTGTACTGCTTGTATGACAGCCACCTTGACACAATCCTTTGATTTAACATTTCATTGTTCTGGTCATCTTGGTCAAAAAACCCACTTATTCTCTCAAACTTGGTAGCTTGCTCAGGAGGATGCCCAGGAGCCTCGCTAAAAGTTATAAAACAATCCAGGACTAATGTGCAGCTCATGGGAAAAAAAGCCATTCCAAAACTCCCAAACACTGTCATATTGAATTCCACAACAACATCGCCCTGGCATTTATTCTCGTCCGTTCCCTCTAGGACAGTAGTTCCCAGCATGCACAATTGGAGGAAAAGGTTGACAACTTGGATGGATGTGGACCATATCACAAGAGAGACAGGTCAGTCTGCAAGAGTCATTCTTGTAGATCATTAGAGATGTCACTGAACTGAAACTATGAACATCTGCATGTCACCATTGCTGCTTCTGCAGACAGAGTAGCAATTCAGCAGTCACAGTGATGCTGTTTGGAACAAGGAATTTGAGGCTGTAATGGAGGGATACAGTCACGTGCGGGGACACATTATAAGGCAGAGCGTAACAATGAGACTCAGGGGATTTACAGTAAACAAGTCAAATAGTATTATTTCCCAATGTAAATATTCAAAAGCAAAAAAATGCCCAAATTACTACAGCATATAGTCTCTGCATATATTGACACCTACAGTAATATGTTACTGCTTGTAACGTGGGTACCAAACGTCATTGCAGGTTAACAGACGTAAGTGGCCGAATTCTTATCAGTATTCATGCAAGAAAAGAACAATTTCTAGATAGAACTTACATTTCTAGATTATGGACTGTCAAAAGAGACTTCCATCATATTCTCTATTCAAAAAACATTTATGGACTTCCTTGTTACCTGTACATACTAATGTTACAAGGAACTCTAAAAATAAGATACTGTTTACAAAGGCCTTTCAAATGCTCTTCATATGTACCTCTTGTCTCTACAAAAGCAAAACATACAGTAACCCAGACAGTAACTCTTATCTCTCTCTCACTGCAAAAACTGACAAGGCAAGTAAAGTAACACACCCACAAGAATTTGCAACACTTACCTGGGGTCATCAGCTGTTTTCCTCAGAGGTTTGTTGGTTCGGTTTTTAAGCTATACAGTTACAACAAAAACTAACTATGAGAAGTTTTGACTCTCTGTGCTTCTCCTTGAACCCTTCTGGGGAAATATTACCTTCTTATGAGCCTTATCCTGTTTGATCTAGCAAGTCACAGCTTCTGGACTGAGGTAGTGACATACACTTCCCTAAATACAGAAGTAATCTAGCAGTCTCAGTTGTCTTTTTCTGAAAGTATTTCAAGTATTGAGGATCTTAAGAAGTGTTACTGTAGTGTATCGCATGAACACCCCAAACTTTTTATAAATGTCACTTGGGTTCCCTTAAATTGTTTCCTTTTGAAACATTTTCCTGCAAATCAGCTACTTGTCCACGATCATACTATGTTTTGCCTGCTTTACACAGAGTAGTGAAAAGAACAAAAACACCACCAAAATAACCTGTCCCTGACTCCCATCTCAGGGCATCAGCGGTCACAGAGCTTCGACTCCGCTCCTCTTCAGTGCCTCAAGTCTATGTCCCCCCACCCTCAGCAAAACAGCTGCTCTTATTCAAAAGGGAAGGTTAAACTGTGCCCTTAAGTGAGTTGCTGGATACTGCACATAACTTACCTCTTCTTCACATATCAGAAAAGATCCAAGCTATGCTATCTATTTTGGGAGCAGGAAGTTGTGGATGCCTGACAAGCTACAACAGTGATATCATCTACCTGACTTGCAAGAGAGTACGTAGAAGAAATATGACAGACAGCAAGACAGATGACTGCAAAGTTTTTTTTTACAGCAGTTATCCCAGATATACCACACGGAAACATGTCTTCAAAGACAAAAGAAGTTTTGACAACTTCAGTCAAGCTAGAATATTTTCTTCTAAACCACTCACCACTTTGTCTTTCTTACGTATCAGCCTTCTAACAGCACACAAGTCTACCAAACCCCAAAGATACTGTAGCGCTATGGCTACTCAGCACTGTCTTTCCTTTGCCCATGAAGTACACAGCAGAAGACTTTGATGGATTGTATTAGTCAAAGAAAATCACTTCAAAGGCATGTGTGCCATATTCTTACTGATGGCACTTTAAAGGTGGAAAATGCAAGTAACCAGATATAACTGGGGGGTGAGGAGTCCAGAACAACATTAACAGAAAAAAACTTATTCATGTTCTGTAATGTAAAAATAATTTATTTATAAATTTTACCTAGATGTATCCTCAGTCAAGGTCTATTTCCCTTCCCCAGCTCCACAAAAACACCCTAGAGTACATCTATATGGAAATTTAAAGCAGAATATATTTTAAAATGGTGTTATTTGAGGCAGCTATTTACCACAAGAAAATATTTAAGACAGATTGCCTCAGATTCTCTAGTGATGTATTTGCTTCATTTGGAATAGAATTGCTTAGTAAACACTAAGAAATATTATCCTTTGGCAATAGGTATGAAACATGCAACTTGAGATCCCCCAATACAGACTCAGAGTAATAGAAAACAAAACAAAACAAAAATAAACTAAGTTGCCCCAGGACTTTGTTAGTAAAATCTGATCTTTAATTTTTGCAGGCTAGTGGAATAAAGGTCAGAAAGGATCCCAGGGCTTTTCTGCTAGGACACATGCTACAGGGAAAAGAAGAGCATGGCAAAGTGACAGCAGTTAGATGAAATAACCATTCCTTATGACTTTCCTTACCTACATTTCTCAAACACTGCACGGTGACAGCAAATCCTTTCGTTCGTGGCAGTAGGTGATACTTGAGCTTGGGCAGGCCTTTGGCTTCAGCTACCTGCATACTAATCTGGTGCTTCTGTTCTGTGAACCTTGTACCCTCACAATGAATCAGGAACTAAAACCAAGAGAGAACTAGAGTTAGACAGCGTCATCTGCATCTGTCTTGACGAGAGACCTCTCTAATTCCACCAACACAGCACAAATGAACACTGCTAGCAGGGACATGTGTAGCCACATACACATTTAGGTAATGTAATTGCCCTGGAGTGAAGAAAAAAAAAAAAACCCACAAAAAACGCGACAACAACAAAAAACAGGAAAAAAAAAAAAAAGCCAAAACCAAACCCTCTCAATTGCCCCCACCCATCCAACTTGCCATCCTCTGGTTTAAACTCTAGGCTTCTGCTTAGAGCAAGCATCTGCTCTGCTACTTGCTATGAGAATGACTTGACCTCTCTAAATGAGTCACTCCATCTCTAATGAGATGTTAGAAAACACTCAAAACATACCTCCTGTTGCAAATCTCTCACTGATGGTGAGGTGTTCGAGCGCCACGGTATCTAAAACTTGTTAAGTGTCTAAACCAAACACATTTCTAGGAAATGCTTCAGCACCCAGCTTGCTTCCCCTCACTCCAACCCGCTTGCTTTCACTATGGCATGAGGACCACTGACAACTGCAGATAGTAAATTTGATGCCAATGACTGAGCTGATAACAGATGTAAAGCAGTAGATGGATGACAACTGAAAGCCTCATGCCCTTATGAACTAGACAGTGGAAGTGCTCAGACATGAACAATGACAATTTTGCCACTGGCAGGTAGGGGAGGGCAGACAGATCTTTGGAGATTTACTGCTTGCTCATCTGCTTTCTGCCAAGCCTGAATGCAAACTAACACATTAGAGAGCATTGCCAAATTGCACAAGCTAGGTCCTCATAATCCCCAGCAAAGGTTTAGCTAACAAAGACAGAGAGACTGAAGAAAACTGGCCAAGCAGCCAGCTTCAGTTCCAGCTCATCTAAGAGCACTTTTATTCATGTATCACATGCATGTTAAACAGCTAAATGAAACATACAGAAACTGATGGGAAAGTCCTTCTAGCCCACTTAGCATGCTCTGTCTTTCTACCTTCCAAGGTGCTATTACTGTGCCTTGTGACATTAAGTCACCATACAAAGGCAAATTAAAACTCCACACTACAATAACCCCAGGTGTATATCAACAACTGTATCTCTCGCTACAGGTATAGCTCCTTCTTAGTAATCCCTCTGCAGCAGTATATAAAGGATGGTGGCAGTTTGTGCTCACAAATTAGCGCTGAACTGCCTAGGTGTATGAAAAGGCGTTCAACATCTTTTGTGAGTCACAGAGCACAGGCAAATCCCTGTGACAGAGACTGAAACTAGAAACCAAGAATTGTCCCTTTGCTACACAGCCTCCTGCCTGGAAGTCACTTCATCATTTTCCAAACACAGAGCTTAGTTTTGATTGCTTAGTGCTCATTTAAATAAAGGACAATTAAAAAAAAAAAAGGTTTTGTTTCAGAGATACAGTATATATATCTTCACTAGGAAACTCCTCTTAAGCGATAGTTTCTGTAGGCCCTTGCGAGGTTGCTTAAGGTACCATTTTCTTAACTGAATCCTTCTCTTGCCATCACCAGCTCACGAGAACTAGGATTTTTCTGATTACTGAGAAGAGAAAAAAATATAAATACTTTTCATTCCCAGACTAGGAAATGCAAGGCAGGGTCAATACTAAAAAATTATGGTGATGCAAAAAGTAACACTTTCCTGTTACTGAAAGGTGACACCAATCTTCTCCCTTTAACACAGCTGATGACCCCAGGGGCCACTTCCCTGAACAGGTACTGTGGCTTCCACTTCTACTGGGCCATGTCTGACCTAGCACCTTCACAGGAATGACAGAATCACAGGGAAATGGAATGAGAAAATGAACTCAGCAATGAGTGGGATGGAAGCTTAGGTAAAGAATACAGCTAATGCGTTTCAATACAACACTGTCACAGGCATCTCTTACACCACCATGAACCCCTGAACCTACATCTCTCCTGTATTTAGAGGACCACAAAGTTTAGTGAATGGATCACAGTGGAGGTATTTTTGCAATAACATCTGCAGGGCTCCATATTACAGATGACAGACAAGACAGACTATTACATTGGAAATTCAAGAGATAATTCAATTTTTAGAGAATACTCTCCTGATACTGCCAGGAATCTCATGAATCAAAGTTCTCGGGAGCAACCTGGCAACTACCATATACTGTCTATGCCCTTCATCCCACCCAAGCACTACAGCAGCTCACACTCCACTTGTTAGTCGTCACTCACCCAAAAGTTTTCAGGGTAGTCCCGGAGATTCAGCAACTTCTGCATGACTGTTTTACGATCTTCCTCCCACTTACGCTTGCAGAAGACTATCTCTAGGAAATACCACATCCAGCCAATGATAGGCATGTACGAGAGCTCCTTCTTTGCAAGCACTTTGGAACTCTGCAAGAAAGAGTCAAAGCAAGTATAACAGTTACACCACTTAGGGTTCTGTGTGTGTGTAACACAAGCACAGTTAGACACTAATATATTGATTCGTACTGACCAGTCTCAGTTTAAACACCAGTGCAAAGGCAAAACAAAGAAAAAGTTTTTCTCAAACAACAAAATAGTCAAATCTAATCTCAGATATCTGCAGAATTAAATATATATGTGTGCGTGCATGTGTCTAGCCCACCCAAACCCTGAAACCCAAAACACAAGCCAAATTCCCTCAAACACTGAGGAAGCCATGCAAAAGACCCAAATCACATAAAACAAAATTATTAATTCAAGCAGACCTTGGGCAGCGGCAACTCAGGTTCCTTTACAGTATCTTGCAGCTATACTTCTCCCCAAAGCTGGGACACCTCACCATGACAGAAAAGAAAAAACAACCCTATTCTGAATGAGAAGCAGAGTCACAGAGCCATTGCTGCACATGTATTGATGCATACACATGGTTTACCGATGGAAGAAACCTTAAACAACGATAGACACAACAGCAGCAATAAAAGTACTTAATTTGTGTTTATGTTTGCTTATGGAAGGGCAGAAATACTTTTACTAGTGATTCTCAAAGTACTGTTGCTGTCTCTCAGGTACAACAGACACTGAAGTGATTTGTCCAGACTCTCTGCAAGAAGTCTGGTTTATCAACAAGTTTCAGATCTCAAATCCTACTCCAGAACTTAATCACCTCAGACTGACATGCCTTTGGGCAGGAGAACTGATTCTACTTGCTCCGTTCCTGTCTTCCAAGCCAGCCTGCCTTGGTGAGCTATCTTACGTTTCACTTTGTTATTTAATGAATAAAACGGCACATGTGCGTGTATATAGAAATTGTTGCTTCAGCATTTCCTGAAAAACAGCGACATTCTCTTAGAGGATAGATGGAGCAATCCTGTTTCTATCTGCGATACCATTATAAGCTATTCCATCAAAGTGCTCTTGCAGATGGGCTCCAAGACATTGCATCTGACTAGTAAGAATTATTTACTGGTAGAAATTACCATCAACAGAAATTATTTGGTTTTATTTTTTGGTCACTGTTGTTCACTTGGTTACTAGGGGAAGAGACTTGACCTAATTCTTTGTCTCATCTCATTTCTCTCATTTGCTCTACTTCCTTGAGAAGGAAAATACCTTAAATAATTAAGCAATCTAAAAGCTTGTAAGACTGGAAGGCAAGTGCACATCACATAGCTTCACTAGCAACTGTTGCACAGAAGGGAGAGCAGAAGACATGCGACAATTCCATTTTTACGAATGCAGGAACCGTATCTCTCAAATGATTTAGCACTTTGTAATAAAGCACTCCCTCTTGATCATTTGAGAATTTCAGTGATAAGCCCAGATCAGGACTCCAAACCCAGCTTTCCCACAAGGAGCAGCTGCAGGATTTTGCACCCTTTTTGCCCTTTCAATTTGAAGTCATATTGTACGTTAGTCCCTACTGCATGGCAGCAGCAATGCTGAGCCCAGCCTGCTCTTCCAGCTGCCCAAACTGGCCACAGAAAAACAGGCTCTCCTCCCACCACTTTCCTTAGCTCTCTGGTTTTTTTTCCCACACTACTGTTTTTTCTTTTCTCAGTTACTTTTAATACAAGTAATTTTCTTATTTCCAACATAAATGTAAATAGTTCTAGCATATATCTTTAAAAGCCTCCAAAGAGCATTTTTTGTTGTAGGCCATGTACAGTATAGCTTCCATTCAGAGCACACAGACCAGTTCATCCACTCTTCCATTCCTCATTCCCTGTACATGCCTGAAAAAGACAGCTGAGCCAAGGCTTTGACTCAGGAAACCCCAACAGATGTTTCTAGCTGACCAGGGAGGGCTAAAATCTTAGGGAACTGCTGCCCGCCTCAGCCACAACCAGGGCAGCCGTCAGCCACAGCCTAGCACAAGCCACTGTACAATGAGGCAAACAGCAACAGTGTCACCCCCCAAAAATGAGACAAAACTCCATGCTCTTAAAATTTATTTGCAGTAAGTGTTCAGGATCATAAGATCTACCACAAACAAATGTAAATGTGCTCTGCATGGGATGTACAAGGCCTCCAGAGCACAGAGTCAGAAAAGACAATCTAACAGTCCTCCCTCCCAGACTTTAAAAGACAGGAATCCTAGTCCAAAAAGCAACTTAAAGTAGCTATTGCACCATAGCTATTTTCTAATGTTTTGTATATTTTAAAAAAGCTTATGAGTTAAACAAGGGGCAGAAGAAGAGTTGCCACCGTTTTTTCACCCCAGTGAAACAAAGAAATGATGTTGTGAGCTAAGGTGTCACATAGTGCAAGTATAACCACAAAAGCAGAATAGATGTTTGAATTCTTCCCCAGAGCACATTCTTACTCATTTTCTGCGCCAACGCATTTTTAAAATTTAAAAGCGCTTTTTTAGACACATGAGTGTACGACTCCTTAGATGCACATAAAAAGGAACTAAATCACCTCATCCCATTTTGTGTACCCCATCTATCCTAGGAGTAGAAGGAAGGCTAATGACACAGAACTAATTAAAGGAAACTCTTCAGTGCATTACACTGGCAAGACTGTTCTCATGTGGGAGGAATACATTAGGCCTCCCCTCAGAAGCTACCATCTTTCTTACAATAACTAGAGCTACAATCTATTCTGTTTCAGTTGTCGACCCATGCACAGCTCCTGTGTAAATACCTGTGGGGGAAAATGCAGCTCTAGTTGACTTTGGCCACTATCTTTTCCTTTATTGAAGTGCTGTGGTAAATATGTGATAGTCACCTCTAACATTCAAATTCAGCTTGTTCAACAGAATAAATCTAATTAAAAAGTGATGATTTATTCCACATAAGCTGCCTTCTTGAAGGTGGTCAAACATTTTCAGTGCTCAGAACTGTGTAATTCCAACAGATGTTTAATGAAATTACTTCTGGATGGGGACAACTTGTCTACAGTAATAGCATTTTAATCCAGGTTGATTTCTTTTGGCCAAGTTTGTTCAGATGGAAATACCCATCAAATTTTGCTTTTGTGAATGGTTGCACTAACATCTCATAAAAAAATTATTTTTACAAGCTTACTTTAGATGCATTTGCACAGATACGCTGTCAAGGAAAGAAAATCTTGATTAGTATGTCCAGCCTCAGTTATTCAACCACTCTCGATCACAGAATGCAGCAAACAGCATGAAATCAACCTGCCAGCTGAGGATGTCTAACAAAATTTCTTCCACAGTTTCAAAATAAATTCGTTGTAGCTGCAAACCATTAGCAGCAGCAATTTGCCTCAGAAGTTATTTGCTCTCCAGGCTGCCCTCAGCACTGACATACCTTTGATGATTCCGTTTGCTCTTTTTGAAATATAGCACTCCTTCATATTATACTCTATGGGACATCATGATGGAAAGATAAGTTTATTTAGTCCCTCAAAGCCATCATTCCAGAAATTTAGTTAGGCTCCTAATTTCTAATGCTTCATATTGAAAAAAATGTTTACCTTTCCATGTTGGAAAGGTAACACAGCAATATTTTAGAGGATGTATTTCCGAGCACATGCTAAGATGCTGTGTTAAATAAAAATAACATTGTAGTTTTTGGCTGCCTACATGAACAATTACATAAGTTCTGTTAATATATTGACATGTAGAAATGAACTACTGTGTTCACACACCTATCAGTCCCATACAATAACTTAGCAAAAGTCTCTTCTCACTCCTATATTTAACACGATGCTCAGGTTTTCCAACAGCAAGTTTCAACATAGACAACTTTTAAATAAAATGGGGTTTCCTGGCATATGGAACAGATAGTTAGGGTTAAAAATTACTACATGTGCTTAGCAATTTATTATGAGAAACTTAAAGCAAGATAGTTAATAACTAGTTTTTCATAATGGTTTTCTGCCTTGTCTATGCTGCCAAGGCATAAACTATGGCCTCTTGGAAATGCACGTATTTTGATGCCACTATAATGAGCCACTCAGAATAACGTTTATGTTTTGTGAAGCAGAAAGACTACCAGCATTAAGAATTTGAAACTCAAGACAACAGAAGATGAACAGATAAACAAGCAGGTTTAGCTTTAAAGCGCAGACAATTTTTACTTACATTACTTACTTATATTACATAATATAAATGTCTTCATCTCAGAAAAAGGATTATTAAAATTACTAAAAAAGCTATTTTATCACTGCGTGGTCAGATCAAGCAACAAAGAAGGAGGACACAGTGAATCGTGGCAGGGAGCATAATAATGTGCTTTTGGTATAAGTCCTGAATAACACCTCCCTCTTCAAGAACATGCCTGTGTCCTGATTTCCAGTTCTGGTGTCCAGTGGGTCTGTTTTCAAAGGGATGCTTAGCACACACTTTGCAGAACTAAATGCTACTAATGTGTTTAAATGCCAATACAGTAGCTAGGCTGTCCACCACTAAGAAGGTGATAAATCCTAGCACTGCAATGTCACAGGCAGGAAAAGGGAAGGGCACAGCAGAGTGCAGGGACCTGTCACCAAGACCATGTCTCTATGTACACAATGGAGCAACACACAGACATCGGAGTCAGCATCTCCTCCAGCCACTGCATTGGCATGGGTGGAAAAGTACGGCATCCACAACACAACCATCACAGTCCCCAGGCTCAGGACCATCATAACAGCCCTGCCTTTTTTTTAGGGAACACTGCTGTGGACAAAGCTCCATCCTGATGAGGCTATGCTGTTTCTGACTCTCCAGAAAGGCAAGTTAGCACGTCAGCTCCTCCTTCCCTCACCTCTGTGCCAGGGGAGTCAGGACTCAGCTGTCCCCATGGACGTCCATGCTGCCCACGGCAGCGTGATGCTGACTTGGCATCACACACCCCTGTATTCCCTCCCTCCTGCACACATCACTGAGGTCTGGCAGCACAAGGAGGCAAATACATGTGGCTGACGGGTGTCAAGGACTGAAAACAAAACAGGAAGATCCCTTCACAAAAAACCCA